AGAAATCAAGCTACCATCAAGATTTCAGAATACAATATAATATGGTCTCAAAAGAAGGGAGAAGTTTGGTTGGTTATTATTGGTTATTGTTTTTAGTTAATTCTTTCAAATTTGTTTGCTGTTTTTTAAAGGGGAAAGATGTATTATAATGTTATATTCACATATTATCATATGTTAAATGTATCATATGTTAGTTGGAGGTAAACAATATCAGTCATGTTTATGTTTCTGTCTTGAGTGGAATTGTAAATAAACTTCTGAACTTTAAATGTTAAAGCTTCTAATTTTATTTATATTTTCTAACTAAAACATAGTCTACTTAATACTTTGCTATCAAAATTACCATATTTTTACCATTTTGCAATTTTGACAAGCATTGTTGAACAGCTGATTCATTTACTGCATGAAATGTAAAATACTAGCCTTATTTGTTCTCCACAAGTGCATTTTTAATTAAACTGAAATTCGAGAAATAACTCATATTTTTTAAAAAGAAAAATTTCATGCGTGGAGTGTTGCTTTTGGGAATGTTACAGAAGGAGTTAAACAATATCTCACAACACTATCAGTTTCTACCAAACTTTTCTCCACTAAGCCATTGTTGAATAACTAGGTTGTTCAAATCCCAAGTTGGTAACCTAAAATTGACAACTGATTCTGTAAAAGAAAAGTATCACAAGCAACAACATTAAACAACATTGAAATTCATTCATTGAACTCGTCATAACTTAGTCAAAATGTTCAGAGCTTAAAGAGTAGAGTGTTAGGATATGCTTTTAGGGTGTTAAAAAATGCAACGCAATAAACAACGCAATAACCGGAAGATAACCTAACCTAGCCTAAACTAAACTAACCTAACCTAACCTAATGGTAACCAATTTAAGCATGGTTGGTAAAATACCAAAGTACCCTATTACGTTTCTACAAATACTCTATTGGAAAGCTGACATTTTCATAGAATTTTTCAAAACTTGCTTGATTAATTGTGTATGTTTTCATTGCAGTTTGTGTATAAATGTGTTATTTAAATAGATTCCAACAACTGCCTTTGCACAGATACCCTGTACTTAAACAATAACCGTATGACCAATATTGTGTGTGGTTCATGTTATGTTTTACACTAAAAGTTGATGTTAACTCACTAAAGGGGAAACACTTATAATGTTCATTAGTAAATATAGAAACGAATACTTTAGGTTTAAGTAGAAGAAGCTAAATCAATAAAATATATGTACTGTACCGTAAATGTATAACTGGAGCATTTTGCATGTGTTGTAAATTTTATCCATTACATTTGTATATTCTTCACTTAATAGAATCATTACATGCTGAAGACGTTTTGAGAGTGCACATATTCTACTGCTTTGGATATTATAACCAGATAAAGTGTGTTTAATTTAGATTACACTTTGAATTTACGCGAGTTTGAAATATACGTAACATGAAAGAATTGTAATTCCAATCAAGATTGGATCGCCGTTGATGGATCTCCAATATCAAGTCCATCCCATGAGGCCAGTCTCTGATTGGATTCTTTCACACCAACCTTAAAAGCTTCATCAAGGAAAAAGAGACATGTTGATGAACGTTTTTAACGAAACTATTTGAATTTAATATGGTTTTAGAACGAATAGTGTATATCAATGTTTATGTGCAGTAACATCCATTCATTAAAAAACTTACCGTTTATTAATAGAGTATTATAAATTATTTGCGGATTTTTAAACTCTCTAAATGTTTAACGGGATTTAAAGAATTATTAGTTACGGATTTATTGTTACATTATTGTATATCACATTGTCATAACCAGTTATATTTCTGTATGGAATCGGTTCAAACCCTGGTCTAGTTACTGGAGCTTTTTGTTTGATGCATCATTAATCCAAAACTGAATAGAAATATCTGAGTATGAATTCTGTCTTGCTGTCAGCAAACATTACTCTTGGATGGGTAGCACACAGAACTATTCTAGTAGATATTATAAACACAGCCATAAACATGTTATGTCTTGGTTATTAATACTCGGGCACCTACAAACATCTTTAAAATTTAGTAATAATCTGATCATATAATTTAGGTTATGATAAACAAGTGTTTGATCAAATAATACAAAATTGCATTATAATAACAATTATAACATCTTCTTATCAACGTACAAGCCATCGCTTGGTAAGACATGAATGAAAAACATGATTTATTGATACTTAACTTACTATTTAAACATGGATTCTTAGTACATAGTTTTAGATAATATATCATTCCAATCAACTAACATAGTTATATTCGACAGTATAGCAACTCGATGTGGTTTATGTAGGATGTAGATTAAAAATAGCATAGATCATATACTGTAGGTGATAAACTGTTGTTTGGTTAAATAACACCAAATGCTTTATGATTGGCTATTTTAAACTTTCTTACTAACAAGTCTTCACTTGGTAAGAAATGAATAAAAAACACGATTTATTGATACTATATTTAAACATGGAATCCTAGTACATAGTTGTAGATAATATATAATTCCAATCAACTAACAGAGTTATATTCGACAGTATAGCAACTCGATGTGGTTTATGTAGGATGTAGACTAAAAATAGCATAGAACACCTGTTATGTGAACGGATATTCCCAACGCAAATTTAATCTCGGTTACTCGTCTACAAATTTAATCCTACCATGTAATTTTCATATATATCCAACCTTATATCACTCTTTGACAATAAATCCCAGTAAATCTTAAAACTGATACATTACAAAAACACTTATAAGTAGTTATTTGTGTGTTTACCGTTTACAAAAAAAAGTGGTCGAGTATCGCTCACAAGGATTTTGTATGAGAAATGCTTTATTATTGTGACACTTATATTTTCATAAGAACTCAAGAACAAATTGCATGAAAGTATGTAATAAAAAAATACAACGCAATAAAACAATTTATAATATTATTTGTCAATAATGTGTTCTTTACAAAGGTATTGTATGAATAATTTTGAATATATGTACAAATATATTCCTATCGAATAGCATTTATGTAACGAGTTTCTCATAATATAAAGTTAAATAATATTGAATGTTTCTTAAAATTACTTTGATAAAAGCATACCTACACAAATATATTGTTGTGTCTCGAAAAATATAATACAAATTTAGAAAAACTTAAAAAGTACTTAAAAAAATAAACGTTTTTGATCGTTGCATTCAGATGAATTTTACTGTTAAAATGGCCGCATACATATCTTTTTCCTAAGGGTGTAAAAACGCCTTAAGTCGTTATTACAGTCGTTAGCTGAGATACAAATGTGTTCGTTACGTTGAGCTTTTGTTACAAGAGCTCTGTTTCGTTAGCTACGATTTATATTAATTTAACTTTGTTCTCAAACTTACAACTTTTGGTAAATTTCCTTATAGGCAAGTACTATTACTGTAGGTGGCACGTGAACTTAATCAGCCAATGAATAGGTAATCGGCTTATATTTGCAATTAACTATTTAGGTTTTATTATTTTGGTTATATTTTCAGTAAAAAGTAAATTGACTAACCTTTTCAGATGAATCGAATGAAATATTCCTACCTGTAACAAAAAAAAAGTAAATGATAAAATATTTAATAACATCATCAACCAAGACTGTTTGATAAACTGGTGAAAAATAGATGCACAATATAAAGTTATTATGGATCTAATTTATCATTCGACCGTACGTAATTTAAGCTAGTAAAACCTGACAATTCAAAGTTAGTAGAATGTGAGTATGGAGCTGGAAAATTATTATTCCCTTTAATAACTCTAGCTCAATGTAGGCGTGTCCAGTAGGGGGAAATATTGATTGGATGTTGATAAAACAAAGGGTAATTTAATTAATTACTGTTTAACCAACACTTATCGCCGGGATATTGAAACAATGCTCGGTGCTTTAATGGTAACTAATAAACGGAAATGCTATAAATGACATATGAATATTCGTTACACAAAACAACAACTAAACAACATTTTGGTATCAAAATGGTTGAATACCATACACTGGCCGCTTGAGAGTGGAAAATAGAACAATCTTAAATCATAATTGAATGCTTTAAACGGATAATTCTGTTGGATGCAGCTAACCCACGTATGTTTAATAGTCACAAACATTTTGATTGAAGTTTGATCTTCAAGCAGCTCAATTAAAGTTTACCGATAGTTTTAAGTGCCAACCCTGCTTGGCAAAACCTCAACATACAAACCAAACCAGTTTACGTGTGCACTTTGAACTCCCATGAACCGGTAACTTCTGGTTATTTCAGCTATATGACATATACAATCCCTATGACATTTTATCTTCGATAAGCTATATCATATCGACATGAAAACTGATGTAAAACAAAAGGTTATTTCACTCGCATTTTATTTGTGCATTGATTTAAAAGTTGATATATTAATTTCTTGTAATCTGACGTTAGAATTTATTTTGGGCCAAAAAGAAAACTGAGAGGCTTTCAACAATAAATGCATGAATTTAAACCTATTGTGGTGGATATTAAAATGATATTTTCAATATAAATCATTCCCTGTAGTAAAGAATACTTATAAAAATGTTATATAAAAATTAATAAATAATTGATACAAACATAATGTTGGCAGATCTTTAACTGCTCAAAAAACATGCTTGCAAAATGCAAGTTTTCTATAATAACATTTATTCTGAATCAATAGTTTAACAAACGAACAAAAATCCTTGTTTCAAAATAAATTTTTCCCTACAACCACTTTGTGGTCAGCCTTTTCATGATTGAAGTTTGACAACCATTCAACTTTGATTGAGAACGACATGCATTAAGATAACAGAAGAGCCACACCTGAATCTAGGTAATTAAGTGATAAAAGTCACTTTAGTATCTGTTGTTATTGGAGTGTACCTTATCAACATTTCTCTGATAACACTTATCTAACTAATGATACCTGAAAATTGCTTATTTACGTAGTAGGTTTATCCAGTGACAATGTTTTGTTGGTGAGTGCTTTAAAGTTTTCCTGTTGAGAGTTCCGTTTTTTTTCACGTTTCAAGATTGATTTGTTTATATTTATTTATGTATGCTGTGCTTAGTAAATATTAATAGTTTGCAATTCAATTTTAACCTACGAAGAAAGGTTTGTTTTGGAGATTTTCCTATCCAAGGAATTTAATTAAGACAAGTTTAAAAATATATTTTGCTTATACTGTAGCGTGGAAATATTTATATTTAAATACTAGAATATTAAAGCTAGTAGGTTGTTTTATTTCATGATATTTTTGCACCGTTGGATGCAACTGTAATTCAGTTAATATATTTATTAATTCAATATATTTCAAACATTTTAATAAGATTTCATAATATGTATACCTGAATTTACATTTTACTATTTTGATTCATGATTTTAAAAAGTTGGCCACCCATTTAAATTACTTTTCAAGACAAATTTATTACTCATGTTTTTTTCTAATTTAGGAGTTTTTCATTTTAATTTGAAACCTTTCGATAAAATGAGTTTTTTATACAAAACGCATGAAGAAATATTAAAATTATATCACATATTAATTTACATTATACATAAACACAATTTATTGGCTTTAAAGTAAATTAATTAATTAAAACTATGCTGAAAAATAAAACTAGTACTGTTACTTAACTCTTAAATAGTTATTGGCGATTTTAAACAATTAACATTCTGCTTACCTAATTACCAAAGTTCCTGAATGACAATACTTAACTATAACGTAATAACGTTATTTTTACATCTACAGGCATTTATGGATCATTGGATTACTCTCCATTATCGCGCACACAAAAGAAGATTCGGTGGATCAATACATTTTAGAGGATAGCTATATTTCTGGCTATTCAAATAACGTTAAAGGTAAATTTGTATGTAATGCTGTTATAGTTTTAATTAATTTGTGCATTGAAAACTCAAAATATGCAATCAACTTCATTTAAATTTAATGCGCGTGCTTTGAATCAAGTATGGAGGGGCCGTTAAAAATCGGCCTATGTAGTACCAATACTTGAGCAAATTCAAACACTATGCACCATTTGATATGTCATGTGAATATATTTTTACTTAGTTAATGACCTTGAAAGATGTCCACAAATTTGACCTCATGACTTTAAATATAAAAGATGTTTCTTTCAAGAACATTGGATACCAACAAATTGAATCTTGACGTTTGTGGGGTTTACGCACCAAATGTCAGGGAGAACTGTATTCTGATTTAAAAATGTAATGCATCCTTTTACTTGATAAATAGTTTTATTATAATGTATGTTCTGGATATAATTTGTCATGTAATTTGGGAGCCATAAAAATTAATTATAGACCAAAAACAATCGTAAAATTATAATATTTCTTCTGTTTCACTATTAAGTCCTCATATTTCTTTACAATAAATCTTACTAATGTGGTAAAATGAGGTTATCTCTTTTGAAGTTCTTTATTAGTTTATACTTGTTTATTATATGTTTTTTCATACCCTGAAAAAGAACTTTTTGATGCAGTTTCTTTATAAAAATTTCATATTTTTTACCATTGCACTGAAATCCAACTTTTAAATTAACTGTTATTAAATTATAAATTAAATTAATATAGATTATTATATACTTTTTAAAAAGTGTATTTATTTTTAGGCTCAACTAAAAGCACCAAGTAATCAGGTAACTTTCAATAATACTTGAATTGAAGTATTGTATTCTTCATTACTGCTCAATATTCTTGAAATAATACATGCCTATAAATAAAAATTCAGAATAAAAATTTTATGTTTTAATGTTATTGAGAATAATACTAGTTTCCCTTTTTAATATTTTATTACGATGTGTTTGCTGCTCTTTTATGACTATTTTATAAGACCAGTGCCAGTGCTATTTAAAGATGCATGGCATCAAAAGAAATTAACATTGACACAATTAACTTTTTTTGGTACCTATAAACAATTCTTACTGCTCATAAAAGAGGAAACTTACATTAAACAAAAACAGTGGACGTACAATAATATTATGTTGGTAGACTCGCCAGTAGGATGGCGCCCAGTTATTATAAATATAACCGACTGCTTGTACAAGTCTGCGTTAAGGTTTCTGCAATGTTCCACTGAACCAAACAACACACATGGCATTGCACTACTAGACCCTCTGGACTTTTATTTGGACCAGCTGGCTGAAAGGAAAACCATCAGGTAAACGAATGATTTATTAGGTATACTTTATGTTTTGGTAAATTATTCATGTAATCGACACAGAGTGTTTATGAAACTGGGTTGGTGGTAGTTAGATAAGAAATCAACTAAATTCAAAACGTTCTATTCTTGAAATAGCCCACTTCGTCAATGAAATAGAGTGGGTCGTCATATAATGATGTAATGAATACTTGGCTGCAATTCATATAGTTGGGGAAATATTAAACCAAGCTGGCAAGAATCGCACTATTTTTACTTACTGTTTTTTTCTTATGAACATTAAAATTTATTTATGGTGTAAGAAATTAATTTACGTATTTTCAGACTTAACGGAGTTATCAACGGCACAATTTTGGAACTATCTAAACTGGATATAAACTACGTCATCGTCACTGTGCCTTCTTTCTACGCTAAGATAATTGGAAACATTCCAAGACTTACAGTTTCGGGAATTCACGATGTTACTGGTCTTTTAGCTGGAGTTCTTCCAGTTTACGGGTCTGGTCCATACAGGTATGTGGGCGATGTTTTAAATGTTAGTATAATAATGTATGGAAAGTATAATCTCATTCTATCATTAGGTACATGGTGCGTTTAGAATCAATTTCCGATACACTGTACATGGGGACGGAAATGAGCTAGCTTATACATCTTGGAAATCATTGGTGCCATGTTCAATTCCCATTAATCACCAATTATTTTTTTCTTATTGATAATGATGCAGCCTCTGTATTGATATCTTAGCCTAAGGTTATGTGGAAAACAATCCCGGGCTAGATCATATAGTTAAAATAAAAGACCCTATACACACATACTTTAAATTCGTTTACATGAAAGTAATTGAAACCGAATAAGTTATCCTTCTAAGATAATCTAAAATGGGTAATACTATTCAAAATCCTAAGCCGAATATTTTAGCAGGGGGAAATATATACGCAATATTATTTCAGATGCAACACAAATATAACTTTTGAAGCTGCAATCGATTGTAGAAAATCAATGTTGACCTTCGCTGTTCTATTGGACTAAAGAAGAGGTTTCATGCGTTGCCATTTGATTTGAATGTAAAATGAACACAAAAAGGGTTGAACATTTCTACTGATTATTGCATTTCGATATGTAAACCCATAAAGACTATCAGAAATAGCTGATACCATAGTTTATCTATTATGAATTACTCAACGCTCTCAAGCTTTGCTCTTCACATTCTAGCACGCTATATAGGTCCAAATAGGGTTAGACTTGTTCAAAATTCGTTCAGAAAAAGTATTGTCAAGTAATTTTTGAGCAAGTCGTTTTGCTTACTAAGAGATCGAGATTCACATTTGCGGCGTATGTAAGTCTACTGCCTCAGTTTAAAGAGTTGTCTTAAGCAGTTGTCCTAGCAAACTCAATACGAAATATATACGTGTTTCTTGTATATCAATTGATACTGATATTTAAATATTAATACTACCAAATTACGTTAAGCACTCATACAACTGTAACATAATTTTTCAGCATTGAACTGTATAACACTAGTGTAACCATTTCCATGGGGCTAAGAACATACCAAAATGGGAGTTTCTACATGTCAACCTTCGATGTAGATTTTTCACCAAAAGAAATTAAGGTAAATTAATGAAATGGCACGTGAAAAACGTTTTAATTTACCAATGACTACGTCTTTGAAGTTTATAAACGATTCTTTTGAAAAATAACGTATATCGAACCTTTAAGGTTGAAATTTACGCGTATTACTTGAGATCAAAACCCTTACATTTCAGTTATTTAGTCTTCCACGAGTTTGCTCTAATTCAATGTGTGTAAGTAAATGATAACTTTATGCCCTACAAGTTTTAGTTGGTATATTTCAGTTTAAAATTTAATATATTTTTGTCAATCAGTCAATACGAGATAAGATCGACAGAAAAGTTCACTATTATTTTATTAAATGTTCATTACTAAAAAGTAGGTTTCAAGTAATGTAAGTAATTATGTGGCTAGTGCTATGTAATTGGTAACCATACAAAACTGGAGCTACTAATAATTAAATCATATTTTTTGGTAAAAGCCCAATCACTGTTAATAGGAAATTGATAATTTTGTTTTTAAAAAGGATGCCATAATTAAGTGCTTCGATTTCCAGGACTTAAAATAAAACATTATACTTGGGGAGTAAACAGTGGTGAGATAGGCATTATGACAAAACAATTGTTTTTATTTATGAAATGAAATTACTACTCATTCAGATTATTTTGTGTTAATTAATTTTACTTCTTGTTACAGAACAAATGGGAGATATCCGTTATATAACTAAGCTATGCACAGTATGAAAACCTTGCAATAATATTTCTATTCACTATCCAATGACCTTTCAATATCCAAAATCTCACAGAGAATAGTTACTTCACCAAATGTATGGACTTTCTTTAAGTAATTTACAAAAATATCTTATTTCTTAACAAAATTTAATGATTTATACATTATTTGGTAAATGCTTCAATCATTGATTTTTTTGCCTCCAGGTTTCTCTTGAACACCTTCTAGGAGGAGGCTCTCTGGGTGCAACAGTTCAGGATTTCCTACAGGACGCCGCAAAGCAGATCCTCGCCCGGAGTCGTCCCCAAATTAAGGAAGACCTCCGCAGGACCGTCATCTCCGCAGCCAATCCAAGACTAGTCGTACTAAATGGCGTTTCCGACCTAGTAAGCTTTTTTGTCAAGTTTAGCAACGTCCCTGCGAATACTTGTTGATGAATCGTAAACTATTTTTGTCCTTACATAAGGAACTGATAGCTCCAGTGAAATATTTTAATACTATGTTTTAATCTTTTACATCATATTTCTCAGTTATTATCGGTCCTTAGATAAAATCGTATTACTTTTGTTACCAATAATTTGTTCTGATGTAAAAACACTTTGATAAACAATAAATATTGTTTTGTCCAAAACAATAGTTGCCTTTTAATTTTCATATTCCTCAGATAATATAGTTACATCGAGCGTAAATAATGGATGTAGCAACACCTCATTGAGCAAGAAATTATGTGTTTTATAAACGATAATAGTGTTTTCCTATTTGTATTAAAAGATTTAGTTTTATTACTATCTGGAAAATTGTTCATCAGAATAATGAACATAAAAACCAGTCAATCTGATAAACATTACAAACAAAAATATATACATTCTTCAGTAACATTTTAGATTATTGGAAATTTCCCTTAATAAAGAAAATATTTTTTTTTTTTTGCCTACAGGTCACTATTTTTTAATATGCGAAGGCAAAGGTTTAAGGATAAAATTAACAGCTTTCAATTAAAAGTGTTTATCATTGTATAACATGAAATACCAAATCGCTAATTGCTATTAGTGTTAATTAGACACAATATTACCATTGTTGTGTTATGATTTAAGATTTAATCCAAATATTATTACCATTAGATCGTAATTAGTATGCTCAACTGCGTTGTAATTGCGATGTATTTGCCAAATAAAACTAATTTGCTAGTTAGGTTTTAATAAATGTAATCGTTTTAAGGGGAAAGTACATTTATTTTTGATAATATAATACATGGTGATTCACAACGAGTAGTTACATAGAGTAGATAAAGTATTTGGTAATGATAAATAGGTAAATATCTCAAATTTTGTTTGAAATAGCTGACTATCATTGAAATGTCGTTCTATGTCATAAGGCTTTAATTACACTTTCAGTTTTCTTAAATAACAAAAATAACCTGGCTGGTGCCTGTTGTTCTGCGTTTAAAACCCGTTATAGTAAATATCGTAAATAGGTAGGCTATCACGGTTGGCAGAGGAAGTTTGGCTTTACATGTATTTCCTTTCCTTTCCAATGAATACATTCAAATAAATCTTCTTATAAGATATAACTTTGTTTTGTCAAAGAATAAAATATAACCCCGGAGCATTGCGTGAGAAGAACTAGTATCTACTGACCCTAGAGTCTACTGCAGCAGAGATTCACATAAATCACATCTTCCTGTCAAAGTCCACTTTCCTTCCAGCTGTTGTCTCTTAAAAAATATTATCGGCTAATGTGATGTTTAGTTTTGTTCGAATTATTATTTTGTTTAACTTCAAAAGATACGGAATGTTTTCGATCCTGAGAAAAGTCAGTAATGTTTTGATGGTTTGAAAGTGGAGCCAGCTGTTCCTGATAACTGTGCTTTAGGTTAATAGTCCTGAGTACTGAAACAGCTGATCTTAGTCAGTAACAATGCTACATAGATCATCTCAGACCATTCTACTCTTGTCCTTCGCTCATGCTTGGGTTAAAATACGCACTTAGGTCCCTATCTCAAATAATTGATAATTTAAAATAATTGTTTATTGACAAAATGGTGACGTGAAATTATGATTTAAGACTTCATATGTTTTCTTTTGCTTAAAACTATGACAAAACTTGCCCCACACGTTATAAACTAACATAAACCAACAAAAAAAATATTAAAGCGATAAAATTATGCTATGGATTTTATATCATTATTATTTATGTTAAATGTGTTGTTTCATGAAATAAAAATAAAATATGGAAATTCTTTTTCGTATATTATTAATCCACTCAACAAAATCGATTGAACTACTTTAAACTACTTTTTGATATTATTGTTTACAGTAGTAACAGTACTTCTAACATTTCATAATGTCTTTTGGAGGAAGTAAATTTTCTATCAAACCAATAGCAGTAAATGTAACTTATAAATGAAATTATATTTTACTTCAACATCTTTTAATCAGATTTTACTTAAATTATTCAAAAATACAGATGATTTCCTTGTAAATGATTTATATTAAGAAGTTTATTCCATGCCATGTGTGCGAGTAGGTGGGAGCTAAGTCCTTTGTAACTTGGAGTTAATCTTCTTAGCCTGTAAGACAACAGGCGCTTCTAATCTTGGCAGTGTTGTCAAGTAAATGTGGAAAAGACACATCTAGCCAACTTGTTTGTAATCTTGGAAACACACTCACTGTAACAATAAGGTGTGTTACTTGATGACACTGAATCTTGTAATATTAGATAGTTTTTTTTTTTTTTAAGCCCCACCATCACATTCTAGGACGCTATATTTTAAGGTCACGACATTATCACATGGATAAAATCCATTGGTGATTGGTGGGATTTGAACCCGGGACTTCAGGCTCTGAAGCCCCTCGCTCTACCACGAGACCAACTCGCTCCTCAGACCTACTCGCTCCCCTAATACTATGTATTGGATAAGTAAATAAGTTATCATATCTTTTACGAATTTTGTACAGGTAAATAATTGTAATTTAGAGCCTTTTGCCCTATTTAGGTTTAGTCACAAATAAATCAAATGAAAGCGATAACACATGTTATATTGATGTTCAATACATTATATGGAGTAGAAAAGCATAGTGCAAAGAAAAATTTACGTATTTGTTTACAAAGGGGGCAGAGGTTAAACCAACTTTTATAATAACTTTGATGCACTGGACGCAATATTTTGAAAAATCTGCTGTGTTTAAGTGAATTACTTGTTTTTATTGTATATTTTAAGTATGTAAACAATGGTAATTTTTGTTATTCCTCATAGGTGTAAATAACTCAACATTCTGTATAATCCCTGTTTATTTCCAGTTATAATTGTAGTTATCTTAGGCAGTATTTAAATGCGTCCCAGTAGTAGTAACCTTATCGTACAGCCTAAGGCAATCGTACCTCTGCAAAGAACGCAACTGTGCACAGATAGAAGAAGATACACGTCTAAATGTACAATTTACTATTTTCGAAATGTTATGTTACACAGCCTGTATAAATGTTGCTATTAATTTTATAGAAGAGCATAGAGTATAATATAGTTTAAGTATACAACTCTCGACAAGATTCCAATAATTATTGGTGTTAATACTGTTTAATTCAACTAGAGAAACAATGGTCTAAGTAAAGTTGCAACGATTTAATTGTATATTGAATATTTTTATAAATATAATAGACAATTTTAAAAAAAGTTATAGAAAACACGGCAAGTTTGAAAATGATCACAGCCTCTAGGTGGATATCCACTTAACACGAAGCTTATTTTAAGTAGGTTTGGTCTCTTTGTTAGGAAGCATTTGTAACTAATCGTGCATTAAGTCTAAACAAGGGCATGAGCCTCGTAAAAAAATGTGTGCATATGCGGTGTTAAAACTGGTATAGTTTCCTAAACAAAACGTGTTAGACTAGCTATTTTGATAATATATACAAAAATTTGCATTATTATACACATTATTTTGTAAAAAATATATGATTACAAACCTGTAATTTTTATGGTTATAATGACTGCATGTCCTGAGAGTGGCATTACACCATACACCGGACTTTGGCCCACAAAAATATAAATCCAAATTAATCGGTCTGAACTTATTAAAGGTCGTGTAGTAAGTTATGCAAGTATAAATTTACCAAAGATAGCAGTATTTCATGAAAAATAACAATAAAACCATTACGAATTACCGATTCAGACAGCAAAATTTACTTCCTACTGTTAATTCATGTTCCTCCTGAATATTATGAAAAGCACTGAACAAACCAATAACACCTCCTGAACATTAAGCATTGAACAAACCAATAACACGGCATACTTCAAATGTTAATTAATGGTGTACTCAATAGACAATGTCAGTGTTGACAGACGACATTGGTGTGTTTAGCCTTGACGACAATGCTGCATAACTGTAATGCTATGCATACATGAGGTAATCAAGTAAGATTGATACGAAAGAGTGAGGTGTATTAGCATGAACACTGTAAATCGCTCAGTATAAATTATGTTAGTTGTAAGTTGGATATCTTGCAAACAAAACGAAAATGTACATTTTCTGTTTACAATATCAACCAGTGCGTCTTAAAGTGTTATTTTGCCGTATCACCATAGTTATGAATTCACAATCCCCTTTTCTATCCATATAGGATAAATATTATAAATAGGTTAATACTTGGTTCTAAAAATTATACGCATTGATTCATTTAAAACGCTAATGGTAATGAGAATATGCAAAGAACAACAATATTATTTATTATTATAATTCATATAAGGCGACAAAGCAATCAGACTTGTAGGTGTTTTACAATAAATATATTTTATTGATTGATTAATTTAACTTGTATGTACATTCTTTCCGTTCATGGGGAAACAAAACATTCTGTATTATTGTATGATACAATATTTTGATATGGTTCAATGACCAATAACACTTTTGATTTAGCTTTTAATAACTTGAGATGCAAACTGTATGAAAAAGGTAATGGTTAAAGTAACAGGAAATGAATACCATCAAGCTTTCTTAAATAATATATTTTTAATTATCATAAATTAGGTCTTGGCAAACCTAATGAGTTGTGGAGTCAGTGAGAATCATCATTGCACATGAAGCAATTGTTTATCACACATGTTTCTTTCATTTGGAGAAAATATATTAGATTTGTGTCACAATAACTTAGTTCATTTCAACACCTTCAACCTCAAATTTCACCATGATGAAATACAAATGCGCTAAAATGTATATGATATTACTATACCAATATTTCCAAAACATTTTTCTCATTGAGCATTATGAGGTAAACTCATTAATTTTGCATGCAACATTCGAAATATGTTCTGGTATAAAAAGGCAATGGCTGTATTTGAATGTTTCATCTACATAAGAAGTGTTACTGATTTAGTTTTTAGTATTTTCCCGACTCGTTTAGTTTAGGGGATATTATTGCAGCCATGTAACATTGAATTTTCGTAAAGAACTAATTATATGTTGTTGCTAAACAATCATTGCTCAGCATATAGTACCTCAGCAATCTTCTCATAGACATAAATGACTGAATAGCCTTACAAAGAGCCTATGTTAATTATTTTAATCAGTATTTG